ACTTAATATAATTTTTTATAAAATTAAATATAAAAAAAATTACCATTAGGTTTATATATAATTTTAAACTACTACCCCCTATCTTTAATACTTGTTAAAATTAGCATTTATAAAAAATAAAACAATAATATATTACTTTAAAAAGCTTTTGCTATATATCAGTTAGAAAACATTCTTAAGCAGCAATTTGTTTATCATAGTTTTTATTACTATATTTAAATATAATTAGAAACAATTCAAAAAGGCTTTTAAAAAAAAAATTAATATTATCTTTTCTTGTTATTTGCAATAATAGTATAATTTGTATAAATATACTTTTTAAAAATAAAGAATAATATATTTAGCATCTTGTTGATTCTGTTTAGCTCAACTAATGTATTAAATAAATCTAGTTATTTACAAAAATATTAATTATTTTTATTCTTTAATAAAAATTGTACTTTATAAAACTATATATTATTTATATTTATTAAAAAATTGTAAAATAAAACTAAACAAATATAAAACATATCTATATCTAAGCCAAAGGTCAATATTGCAATTATTATATATATTTAACTTTTATTTTACTTTACAATTATATTTTTTTTTTGTTTTCTAATAATTGCTTATAATACACATCTATTAATGTTTCTTTTATTATTAAGTTTAGCATTTTATAAACTTCAAAACAATTATTAATTTATGTATAATATATTATCATATAACTAGCTTTTTTTTTATTATTTACTAAATTTATTACTTGATCTAACAAGTTTTGTTCTTAACTTTGTACTAAAAAGCACAACTCTTTGTATAATAGATTGGAACCTTTTGCAATTATGAATATATCAACATTCAAATTATTCTAAGAGCCTCTAAATCATTTTATAACAAAATTGCAATTAATGCTATAATATAAATATTAGAAAAATTTTGTTTCAGAATGTCTAATTTTCTTTACTCTTCTTTAAAAAAAAATTTTTATTTCAATTATTATTTTTTTATTACTAATTATGTTTAATATTTATCTCTTTTATCTAATCCTTACAAAATAGGTCATATCAAAACATGTGATCAACCAATCAAATCATGTAACATAAGAATCAAAACAACAGCAATACGCCAAAGCTATTAACATTAAAATCAGGATTAGAGATGCAATTAGCATTTAGATAAGAAATAGTACATAGTAAAATTTTATAAGAAATTTTTTTTGTTAGAACACAAAAAAGTTTCATAGACATAATTTTGAGGTATTATGATTTTTTGAAAAATTGTAAGTTTTATCATTTCATGTTACATCAGATCTTGCAATCTGATTAGTACAGAACTATTACCGCTGATAATAAATAGATTTGCACTATCTCTTACATACTCATTCACTAAGATAAATAAAAATATATTTTATATCATAATAGCAATATAGATCATGTACTAATAGCCAATTTTATTGTTAGTGCCCAGCATTAGAGCATGCATAATTATATAATTTTTTTTTTTTTACATATATAAAGCAATACAAATCCTCTAATCAAAAGCTAGGCCATTTTTTTCTGATTAGCTATCTGCACTACAAAAAAACCCTCTATGCAAAGGTATGAATAAAGAAACCACCCTCTGAAATAATAGTAATAACAATAGTAATAATAATAATAATAATAATAACATTTCTAACATGCTAGATGATGCCTAAGGAACCACCAATAATGCAAATACTTATGCTAAATATGATGAAGGTCATGAAACCAATAACTATACAGACCTCTACAATAATACTAATGCTAATATTATTGAGAAGCTGTTTGCTAAAGACCTCTATAACTATTGGATACCTTCCAGTATTATGGCAAAACTTATCACAAATATTTATAAAAGAAACATCTTATTATCAGAAGAATGTCAGGCCTTATTACAATCTTATTCACCAAATAAGAATATTAATTCAACCTACTCCCAATAGACAAACAAATTGTTAACTGCATGTCAAAGCATGCACAGAATACTGATAAAACCTTTTTAAAGCTTGCATACAAGTTTTCATTGTCTTTACATCCTCTGGATTTGGCTATTAAACATGTTTATGAAACTAAACTCCAAAATAATGATCAATTTGATTTATCATCATGAAAATATTTAGAAGAAATGTTGCTTTCTACAAGGCTACTTACACTGAATGCCTTGTTTTTACTTAACAAAATATGAAGAGATGAAGCACTTAAGTCATTTATTCCTAACTACCAACCTACCTCTGAAAATAAAACAGTTTTTGAAACAGAATTGCAAAACATTATAGAAAAAGAAAATAGAAAAGCAAAGTTTTTCAGTGATGCATTATATTAACAAAAGCGACAAGAAAAATTGAAATATAAGACTATACCTATCTATTAGAATAATCATGGCATAAGATTTGATAGATATCAACTACCACAATATGGCAAAAATTTTTCAGAATCCAGGCAAGTAAATGTTTACAAGAGTGGTCTCCAGACAGATTACCCAAATCAACAATAAACACAAAAATATCTGAAAAATGTTTGAAAAATGCCTATCCTATATGGCAAAAACTTTTCCTACAATACTGGGCTATATTAATTATCAAAGACAGTTATTATCCCATATAGGAACATGTACTCTTTATAAAAATTTATATTCCATCTTACAACCAACAAAGTTCTGATATACAACAAGAAGTCACAAAGTTATTAGATCAGAAAATAATATGCGAATTCTCTATCGACAAACTATATTTTATGTCAAATATTTTTTTAGTTTTAAAAAAAGTTGGTGCTTACAGATTAGTAATAGATTTATAAGAACCAAACAACTATATTTACTATTTGTATTTTAAAATAGAAGATTTGGACCTCATAAAATTGTTAATACAACCCAAAGACTTAATAGTATCTATAGATATTAAAGAGGCTTTTTACCACATACCATTGCATCAGGAGGCTCAAAAATATTTCATATTTGAATGCAATAGAAAGTTTTACTGCTATACATGTCTTCTCTTTGGGCTTTCAACCAGTCCACAAATATTTACAAAGGTCCTTTGACTAGTAGTAAAATTAGCAAGACAAATGAACATCAGACTAATCACTTATCTAAATGATATACTGGTCCTAGCAAGATTATACAATCAATCTATAAGAGACAAAGAATGACTACTACATCTTCTTTGCAAAATAGGCTTTATGATCAATACAGAGAAGTCACAACTGGAACCAGTTCAATCAATAAAATTTTTAGGCTTTACTATAGACTCAATTAACATGATGCTACAAATTCCCAATTACAAGCTAAAGAATTTGATATATGAATGTTCAACAATATACAAACAGGAAAAAATTCATATAAAAAAGCTTGTCTCTCTAATAAAAAAACTCATAGCTATTACCAATGCATTTCTTTCTACAAGACTACTATCTTGGGCATTATTGCAGAACAAAAACAAGCAATTAAAACTCCAAGGTTGAAATTTATTTGTACATCTTTATCTGAGAGCAAACAACAGCTTCTACAATGAATGAAGCAGTTATCCTATTACAAAGAAAGGAAGATTCAACTAAACATTTCACATTCAATTATACAAACTGATGCATCACTCTGAAGTTGAAGGGCAGTCATAAATGACCAGGTTATCTTAGGACATTGGTCACTACAAAAAAAAAAGGACCATATAAATCTACTGAAAATAAGAACAATTTTAAAGGCACTTAAATATTGGGACAGTCTATGCAATCAAACAGTAATCATAAAGACAGACTTAATAACTATAGTAGCATACATAAACCATCAGAAAGGCATAATCTTACCCCCTTTGAGTCATATAGCAGAACAAATATGAACATTATGTCTGTTTAGAAACATTGTAATTCAGGCTCAACATCTGCCAGGAAGAATGAATAAGTTAGCAGATGTGGCATTATGAATAGTGAATTTACAGTCAGAATAAACCTTGTCAAGGCCAATATTCAATTTAATATAATGGATTTGGGGTCACAGAAATTTCAACCTATTTGCAACTAGTTAAAATGCCTGAATGATAAACTTTTTTAGTTAAAGATATGATCCCAAGGTTCTTGCAATCATCACATTTACCCAATCTTAGAAGAAATGAAAACCATATACAAATCCTTCATAGATTTTATTACCTAAAGTTTTAGCAAAGATCATTCAAGAGAAGGTCACAATAATAATATTTTTTTTATTATAGCAATTAGCCTCATGGTTCTCAATGTTAATGAATTAGCTAATAGACATACCAATTATCTTATCTCACAAAGCAATAATTCACAATACAATTACATCACTCAGGAATTACAGATGGAAGATCTGTGCAGCTCTTGTATCTGGGAACAGCTCAAAGACAAAGACTTTTCAGACAGAGCTGCAGAGCTTTACATTACATTGTATAATCTAAAAGCTTCAAGAACAGTGTTGACATATATGCGAAAATGGTTCAATTGGTGTGCAGCAGGGAATTATGATTCTATTAGTTGCCTTCTTCAAACAATTGTAGAATTTCTAGATCACCTTTATAGTCAAAAAATGCAATTTAATACTATTGTGAGTTATAGATCAGCTATTAGTGAGATCTACATACATGTAGATGGAAAATCAATTGGTACATACTTAATTATTGTTAAAGTAATAAAAGGATTATTTAACCTAAATCTACCCAAGCAAAGCTCTGTGGAAGTAGTTGACATATTGCCCACAATTAGAGTTCTTGGCATAGTAAAAAAAATTTGGCATGCCACCTGGTATACTAAATTTTAATTTGGTGCCACAGGCATGCTATAAGCCAATTAGATAACTTAGAATTATGTGACTAGAATATATTAATTTAATTAGCTAAAATTTTTTTCCATAATTGAAGAATTCTTAAAACTAATTACTTTTTTGATACAATTATTATTATTATATGTGACATAAGATCAATTTGCTTTGCTTTTATAATTAAATAAGTATATTGAAAAAATAAGAGCTGCATCAAGATTACTATACTACTCAAACTAAACTTTAATAATGATAAGGCTTTAATTAAGGTATAAATGACTTGGTCTGAGTAATTAAAATTAAGAAAACTTGAAAAGATATTTTTAATTCAATTACTTTCTATTAAGTAACTTAGTATTTTTTTTAGTATTTTTGCTAATGCTTTAATTCTTTCTTCTTTTTATAGATAGTGCAGTTAGATCTTGTGATCAAATTTAGCTAATTAGAGTAAGTCACTAGATTACATAATTTATTTCAGTATTGATAAATGCTAAATTAAATTTATATACATATAATGAATCGATTACTGATTTAATTAATAACTTTTAAATATATAAAAAGCTTAATTATTAATTTCTTTTTTAATGTGAAAAAATATAATATATAAAAAATCTCAAAAACAATAAGTAATGAATTTAATAGCTTAATATAAAAATATGAAATACAAGAACAAGAATATATAATTTAATAGTTAAAAAGAAGAACTTTTTAGAGAATATGACTTCTACTAAATACTTTGAAATTTCAAACTCTAAGAGTTATCTTTATTTTGAGAAAAATTTTATAATTTATATATTTGTTTTTTATATATAAGATAATACTAATGATTCTAATATGTAATACTAACTATGATGACTATATACTAGAAATAATAGTGATTGACATAATAATATCTATTTCAAGAATTCTGATAATTAAGAATTTTGGGATTCTCATAATATATAATTAGAATTTTTAAAATTCATATATACTATACTAGTAGCTGCAGTAATTTTAAAAGGAATTTACTCTTTTATAACATCATACAGTATATATTAAATCAATTAGTTACTAATTTGCCAATTTCTCAAATACTTAATTATATTACAAGATTAGTTCGTAGCTTATAACAAATAAAATAAATTCATCATAATATACTATTACAGTTTTTCATATTAGTAGATTACTATTGAATCAAAGAATACAAAATAGTAATAGTGCAAAATTATAGTAAACAAAGGTAGTATATTTATATACATATATTAATATTTTAATTAAAAAAAGTAGAAATTATCTTATTTAATTTAATTGTTAAAAATATCTTCAACAGACTATTCATTATCAGAGATACTGGTATCTTGTGAGTAAATTGTTGATTCCTCTTCTGTTACTGCTTCTTGATTATGTTCAAAAATCATAAAATCAAAGAATTCTTTTATTATAAGTTTTGTAATAATATAAATTAATTGAGATATGTCTTATTTCACTGACACTTATTTTATAGACACAACATTTCATCAACAATCAATTCACTGACATGTTTGTTTTACTAACAACCAATTTATTTTGTAAACACCTCATTTTATATACAGCTTATTTTACTAACAAGTTAATTTCTCATAATTCTTCTTAACCCTAACCTAACCCCAATCCTAATTCTAATAGTAATAATGTTAGTGAAATAAGCTGTTAGTGAAATAAGTTGTCTATGACATGAGCTCGTTCAGAAATTGGTTGTCTGTAAAACAAACATGTTAGTGAATTGATTGTTAGTAAATTATTGTGTCTTCGAAATAAATGTCAATAAAATTAGCTAAACCAAATAAATTGTAGTAAAACTTTATATAATTATAATTGAATTTAGATACTATTTTGTGTTAATAAAATTTACTTAAAAAAAAAATAGAATAAAACTTTATGTATAAAATAACTAACCATTATCTATATCTATATCAATTTCTTCTATTGAGTTTTCAAATTCCTCATAATTAATTATTTCTTCTTTCCAAAAAATATCAACATTATTAGTATTATCATTAATGTTAAAAAGCAGTTGCTTGTTAGAATTATCTTGAGGTTTTTTAGACACTGATTTTTTTAGCTTATTACAAAGTGTTCCTAGAATTCCCATTAAAACAGGAGACATTCTATTCTTTGATTTTGTCTTGATAAGCCCCAAGTCAGAAAAAAGCTATTCAACATCTGCTGTATAAGGAACAATAGAAAAAATCTTCATAGCAAATTGGCATAGAATAGAATAACTACTAGTAAATTCTGTCCAAAATTTTCTAAAATTAATGTTAGTAAAAAATTTTTTTTTGTTAAATGGATAGTTTCTATTTTTATAATCAATCAGTTCTTTATATAACACAGTAGCATTTTGTTTATCAAAACCCCAAATTTTTGCAAGATCTAAACTTGCTTTAATACTAGAATCTTTAGACATTTTTTTTGATATTGCTATTTTTTTATATACTAGAGATAAAAATAATATGACAAAATAGATAGGATCAGAGAATTCACAGGCTCTCTTTCTAATAGCTGCTAAGGCATAGTTTTTGAATCCATAAATAAGAATATTAACTATAGAAATAATATAATAAATATTAATAAATTTTTTAAAAATATCTGCCAATGTAGCATTTCTAGACTCAAGATAACTAATTGCATTTATTACAGAAGTAAGTATTGTTACAAGTGTATTATTATTTGCAAAATGATAATGACTAGTAATAATTTCTTGAAGATCTGTTTTAATAGAAGGATAATTTTCAGTTTTACTAAGTTCAATACAATGTTGAAAGGCTTTTTCATAAGCTAATATTCCTATACAGAGTTTGGCAAGAGAATGCCAATGAGTTTCACAAAATATGATAAGTGAATAGCTAATTTTTTCCTTATTTTGCCAATCTTTAAGAGTTTGAAGCCAAATATGTAATGATGTAAAATAATTAACTAATTTTTGATTATTTTTAATAACAGATAATATATTTCGATAACCAGCAATATTTTTAGCTAGTAAATTAAAGGAGTGTAAACAACATCAAATTGAAATGATATTAAAATAGTTTTTTTTAATATCAGCTCGCATTTTGACCATTACTGGAGGGTTGTCAGTTACATATGCAATAACAGATGTTTTAATAAAAACTAAATTAGATTGAAGAATTTTTTCAAACTGTTGTTTAAGAAAATCAGCAGTATGATGATTTGCTGATAAATCAATAATATTAAGTACATAGGTCTGGTCTTCTTTCAAAGCTATAAACCCATAAATCAAATTACCAGATATGTCTTGTCATCCATCTAATGCAATAGTAACATTACTTAAATTTGCCATTGTGTCTAATTTTTTAGTCAGGTGAGTAAAAAATATTGTGTTAAAAACTGTTGTACTTAATGTATATGTAGAAGGTAAATGATAATTTGAAGTTAAATCTTTAAGAAAATTAGCAAAATAGGGATTATTAACAAAAGTAAATCAATGAATCACACTCTCTCTACTGATCCTAAATTTTCAAACAAGGCTAAAAACAAATACATAGAGAAACAAGAAAACGGTCTAACAAACTTCACTTGGACCTCTAAAAAAAAAAGACTCAGCAAGCAAAATACAACTACTTTGCCTTAACAACACTATAAGCAAAGTTCTGTTAAATAAAACTGTAGCTAGTTTTTAAAACTTTCAGTGAAAATATTTGGGAAAAACTGGAGAACGATGTTTGACTCAGAAAAACAAATCAGAAGCACGTGACTAGTATACAGAATAAACAAAGCCAAAACAACATGTCACATTATACTAAACAATAACAAGAATCAACGATAATCAGCCCAATTAGGAAACAATAGGTAAGTACAACATATGTAGCAAGCAGATGGATAAACATCAGAAAAGACTAGAAACAGAAGTACAAACGAGATTGGGGCTACCATGTAGCACAAGCCTAAT